AATTGATGATGTTTCAGTCAGGACTCTTTCCAACTCCTAACTCATGTCACCCTCCCAACAGTACCATGGGGTGGGGGCTCTCATCACCCCCATTTCACAAATGAGGAAATGAGCAAAGAAAGGTTAAAGGATTTGCCCAAAGCCACCAGGTCACATCAGGAAATGATGGAGTTAGGAGAAAAAGTTGGTCACTCTCCTGGCCACAATGAAAAGGAAGACCAGCCATTCCTCCTTTGTGGATCTGTGAAGGACTCCATGGAGGGGGAGGGGTGGTCGCAGCACCGGGTGGGACTCTGCACAATGCCCTGACATGCTCAGTTGGCACCCCAGTGAGAATTCAGATCTAACTGACTTTGGGATGCTCTGTTATAATTTTAGTTCCCCCTGCCTTCCTTCCCAAGAGCCTCCTTCCTTTTATTTTTTAAAGATTGTATTTATTTGACAGAGAAAGAGAGAGAGAGAACAGAAGGCAGAGGGAGAGGGAGAAACAGGCTTCCAGCTGAGCAGGGTGGCCCATGTGGGGCTCTATCCCAGGATCCCGGGACCACAATCTGAGCCAAAGGCAGATGCTTAACCAATTGAGCCACCCAGGCACCCCAAGAGCCTCCTTCCTCATCTGTGCATCAGCTTCAGTATCCCACCCTGCTCCTCCCTTCACTGGAGCATGGGTGCCTTTCCTCTGCTTCCCCCAGAAATTCTCTTCTCAGATCAAGGGGTAAGTCACAAATCAGTTTCTGATGGATGAGTAGTAGGTGCTAGGTGCTAAGTGCTAGACAAGTGCTTTGCAGATTTGCTCAATTATCTCCATTTTGTAGAGGAGGAAGCTGAGCGGTTGAGTGTTTCCTTCAAGTCACAAAGCTGCGGACCATTGGACCAGGATTCCACCCAGAGGGATCTCACACCAATGTCCTGTGCCTCGCTTATGACCCACTGCTTCCCCCTGCTGGGCTTACGGCAGCACTGCCCCGCGTGATGCCTATGCCTCCTGAGTGATTGCATCTGACCGGGAAGTGACGGCAGCGGTGGCGGGACCTGAGAAGGGCAGGGATGGTATTTCTTATTCTCAAAGCTACTGTCAGAACCAGTGACAATGAAAAATTGCATCAGTCAAAACTATATGTATTATTTTGCTATGAAGAACATTATTGGGATAATTGCTGAAATTTGAACAAGATTACAGAACAGTAAAGGAGCATAACGTCTATAATTTCAAACAATTTGAAAAAGTGTGTGTGGAGAGAGAAAGGGAATAATTGGCAAAATGCTAACATTTGAGGAATTTGGGTGAAGTCTGTGGGGAAATTCTTTACACTATTGTTATTTTTTTTGTACATGTGAAATTATTTCAAATAAAAAGTTAAGTAATTGTACATTCAGTAAGCCACCAACTACATCTCTCCTGAGATGGTATCTGGCAACTGATGAAGTCTGTAGGAGACAAATTTATGATCCACAGGGCTCCCTCCTCGGCTCCTCTTGATGACGATGATCACAATCACCCGGTAGGTACAGAGTACAGGGACCCTTGAGATGAGTGGAGGAAGAAGCTGCCTCTGAGGCAGTAGCGGCTAGGGGACTTCAGTTCTCATAGCATCCCATGTGCCGCCCCACCAATGCACATACCTATTTACAACTACAGGCAACAAGTAGAGACCCTCAAAAACCATAGGCCTGTCTGTGCCCAGACACTGGCACTGGTCAGCACAGTGAAGGAGCAGAAGGCATTTCTCATAGGAGAAAGAAGGGCATAAGATGGGAGAGCTACAGAAGAGAAGCCTGGGTGGCAAGGGCAGGAGCCACCTGGGAGCACACAGCAAATATTACAGGTATTTGTGAAGCAAAATAGATGCAGACTCAGTCTCTGAGATACAAGGAAAAGGAATGAGCACTAGGTGGAGGCATGTCATTCCACACTGTAGCCATGGTGGGCAACACCATTCCAGGGATTAATCCAGAAAGCTCACCTCAGGGACCCTGGGACTCCCAACTGGAGATACTCCCCCAAGAGGGCAAGGGGGTGTCTGGGAGGGAATCAACTCACTGGAGGGAGTTTCAACCACCGGTTCTCAATCTTGGCTACACATTGGAATCAGCCAGAGAATTTCTTTCAAACACCCATGCCAGGGTCCCAACCCCAGAGATTCTGAGGTAATTGGCTTGAGGTGCTGCCTGTGCATGGAGATTTTTTTTTTCAATTTCCTCAGGTGATTCTAATGTGCAGCCAAGCTTGAGAATCACTGGCTTAGAAAGCGCTACCTTGGGCAGCCCGGGTGGCTCAGCACCACCTTCGGCTCAGGTCCTGATCCTGGAGACCCGGGATCGAGTCCCACGTCAGGCTCCTGCATGGGGCCTGCTTCTCCCTCTGCCTGTGTCTCTGCCCCTCTCTCTCTCTCTCTCTGTCTCATGAATAAATAAAATCTTTAAGAAAAAAAAAAGAGAAAGAAAAGAAAAGAAAGCAAGCAAGCACTACCTCTAAGACTCTTGGAATCTCAGAAATCAGGACCACATGAATAAGATTGGAGGGCCCATCTTCACTGTAGGAATAACAACTTCAAACACCCTCAAATAAAAATCAGACTTAACCCTGAACCTACTCTCCGACGCCCGTGCATTTGACCCTGAAAATGTGCTGGGCTTTCTTGTTAAAATTGAGAAGAGGCAGGAATTAAGGGAATGGCAACATGGTTTTATTCCATTTGACAGCAACCTGGGCTTTGATTTTAGAACTAGCAATGGCTTTTATGGGGAGGTAATGGCTTGTGATTATGTCACGGTCAGGCCATCAGTCCATTCTCTGGGGCTTTCTATCCCAACTGCCTGTCCTCTGAACATCAGAATACAGAAGTCATTCTTGCTTTGTTTCCCTCTGCCACTTTCCCCCAAGAGGCCAAAAAAGTAATGGCACCCCTCCTTCTTGAGGAAAGGGCCTCTAAAATTCTGGCCCTCTTCCCCAGCAGGAAGTTAGCAGCCACTTCTGTTATCAGGTGGGAGGGGGCCATCCGAAGACAAACTCCATACAGGTCTTTGTCCTGGCTCAAATGCTGGATTGTCTGAGGCATGAGACCATCTCATAGAAGACATGAGGGGAAGGGCCCCAGGTGAAAAGAAGTGGATCCCTAAGTCCAGAACAATGAACAGAGGGCTTTGCTTTGGATCTGAACTCTTTCCCATCAATTGTCTCACCTAGTCTCCTGGCTCCTGGTACAGAATATCCACATCCCCTGGATTGGACATCCCCACATGGATATTTCAAGGCACATCAGACCTACTGTATCCAAAACCAAACTCCTGATCTTCCCTCTCTGCCCCACCTCCTACCCCAAACCTGTTCTCCTTCAGCCTTCTTCGGCCCCCCAAAATGGTGCCACCACTCTTCCAGTTGCCCAGGCCAACAGCATCATAGCCATCTTTCACTCCTCTCCCATGCTATATAAAATCATTCAGCAAATTCTGATGATTCTTTCTCACTATACCACCCATTCTGAGTCACGGTCTTCTGCTGTCTCGATTGTTGTTATATCCCTCTCTCTGGTCCTCCTGCTTCCACCCCTCTGAAATCTGTTCTTAACACAGCAGCCAAGTGAGTTTGAAAACAAACATCAGATCAAGTCACTCCTTGGTTCCAAACTCTCTCATCTCGCACAAAGTAAAAGCCAATGGCTTCACCCTGCATAATAACATCCTATCTCTGGGACCTCATTTCCTACCACTGCCCCTCCCCACTCACCCTGCTCCATCACTGTAGCTCCTTGAGGACATTTTGCATTTTGCTGCACACCTGCCCCAACACCCTCCCCCTACCCTTCAATGCGTCCAGTGGCCTAAACTTCACCAAACTTCACCTTGGTAGCAGGGCCTTCCCCAATTACCCTATTTAAAATAATCTCTCCCCATTGGCATTCCCCTCCCCTGGCTACATTTTCTCTAACTCACATACTACCTTTTTCACGTGTCTGCCACCCTCTCTTAAAATGAATTCCATGAGAACAGGGACTTTGTTGCTGCATTCCCAGCAACCAGATGGGTCAAGCACAGAGCAGGCCCTCCAGGAACGTTTGCCGAATGCATGGAGATCATTAAGACCTAAGCATAGGGGCTCTGAGGTGGAAGGTCAACAGATGCAGTCAATTGCAGAGGTGCCCATAGGAGATGGGCCCTGATGCCACTGGGGCCTCCTCAGAGCCAGCAGATGAACCTCACAAGCCAGGACAAGAGCCTTCAGCACATGGACAGAGGACTGGGGCCCCACCGTTTCTCCGGCGGTCAGGATGAACGTAGAATGGTCAGGCTGTCAGGGCACCTGGGTGGCTTAGCGTCTGCCTTTGGCTCAGGTCATGATCCCGGGATGCTGGGATCAAGTCCCGCATCAGGCTCCCTGAAGGGAGCCTGCTTCTCCCTCTGCCTATGTCTCTGCTTCTCTCTCTCTCTCTCTCTCTCATGAATAAATAAATGAAATCTAAAAAAAAAAAAAGAATGGGCAGGCTGTGTTTACTGATGAGATCGTTCCTAAGTACTGGCTGTGGAACAAAACACTGGGCTAGGGCGCATGTGGGTAAAGGGCCAGGGTCTGGGTTTGGTCATGCAAAGTCCACATGAAGAGGCCTCGCAGCCCATGTGGGTTAGGGGTGCGGACTTCGGAATCGTGGAGGTGAGTGTGGTAATCAGAGCCCTGGGAGTGGGTCAAAACACCCAGGACAGAGTTCAGTTGTGGGGGCGGAGAAAGCCTCAGGCAGAGTGCCACAGTCTCAGGGACAGACGGGTGGAAAGGATACTCAGAAAAGTGGCTAAGGAGGAAGAGTTAGGGAAGCCGGACCAAAGCCAAGAGAACAGGTTGCAAAGGCCAAGGGCAGAATGTCTTTAGAAGCTGGCAGGGGTGGCAGCATTCTGGGAAAGGATGCTGGTTTCACACCGCACCCCTCCCACCCCATTTCGAGCCAAGTCCCACGCACCCATAGCCTTCACAAGGCACTCCTCCCCCATCAGAAACCACAAACAACACAGAACTTAATAGATGTTTATTTGTGTAACAGGAACATTCAGGTATATAAATAAGGTAAATATTTCCCAATGTACAATACATGATGTTCTGGAACTGCAGTGAAAAAGAATCTACATGTACTGTTCAACACAGATCAGAACACAGAGAAAGGGTCAGCTGTGGCTAATACACATGGATTCCGCAAACCACCAGGTCAGGTAAAGGGCACAGCCGCAGCACACCTATCTGGGGAGGCCCTAAGGACTGTCAGGTGGGCTCCACACACCCCCAAGAGCTGCTCCAAGGTTACCAGTGTGTGAGCGCAGGAAAAGCAAGTGTCAGTACCAGTTTACCCGTCTGACGTGACTGAATCACACCGCACGAGGGGAGGAGCAGAGACATTGACCTTGAGGAGGCAGGGTACACACAGGCTAACCTCTGGGTGGCACAGACACAGCTGGGATGGGCCACAGGTGACTGCCTGGCACTCCCCAATGGGGCAGGGAGGCATTTCTGTCTGGGGGAGCTTTCGGGTTAAATCGATCCTCAGAGCAAGACAGAATTGAGGAGCAAGTCCACAGCTGTGCCCAGCTCCCCCAACACCCCAGAGCTCCTGGGGCTTCCACAGAGGGGCCTCCTACCTCACCCACTTTGGTTTTCCCCTTCCCTTTAGGAAAGTATGAAGCATCAATAAAAATTTGCTATCAGCATCAGCTCCAGAGGATAGTTCATATTCCGTGAGCTTTGAATCTTCCTGGATAGGCTTCTGAGCTCTGTTTCTGGTCCCCGCACCCACAAAACCCAGGGCTGGCCCCCCGTTAGTCTGCCCTCAGCCACAGGACTCCTGCCTGGCCTCTCCTTTGCCTCCTGTGGCTTCTCACCCGTCTTCTGGGTGGAGGGCAACAAATCTCTGCATTCTGTCCTGACTTGTTCTTGCAGCTCCAAGTCCTTTGCTTTTATTGGCCATGATGTCCACTCATCTCTTCCCCTTTCTAACCAGTTCCCCAGACGTCCAGCCAGCATGACCTAAGGAGTGACACGACATTCTGTGCATGAAAACAAAGCAGCACACGAAGGACATTCTTAGAAGAACATGGATATACATTCTGCCAACTAGAATTCTCTTCCTATTCTGGCATTTCTAGGCACAAAGGCGGCAAGCCCAGTCCATGAACTGAATGAAGGGGAGAAGCAGATGTGTTCCGGGAGCCAAGGACAAAAACAGTATCAGAGACACAATTTCACTTGGGACAGAATCACCAGGTGGCTAAGTCCACTTACACCCTGTGAGTGTTACTTAGGTAAAGCCCTAGGGAGGCTGCAAGGAGCTAGGTAGGCCCTGCCCTGTGCCCAGGAGACCAACACAGGGCATGGTCGCCCCGATGTCCAGAGGGCCCCTGTCCCCAGTTGAGAGCCCATTTCTTCACAGACAGAAGGCAACCTGTGTCCATCAGATGCAATAATTAGGGAAGAAGTGCCAGGCCTGGCAAATATGAGTCCAGGAGGGCGTGAGGGCAAGCTAGGATCAGCCTGTCAGAGCAGATGCATACTGAACACTTTTACAACCTTCTCCTGATTCCATTCATAGTCATTACTTCATTATTTAACTGAAGGGAAGAGACCATTCTTTAAATACAATGGGGCTTTCAGTCTGGTCTTCATTCCCCAACAACACCCAGGAAACAGTCCATGGTCAAATTGGTAGTTATGATTATTCCATTGGCTTGAGACTCTCATGGATTCTGTCAGCAAGATTCCTTCAAAGCAAAGAACCCTCCACCTCAAACACATGCCCTCCCCCAAGTCCCCATCTCCATTTGGAAAACTAAGTGAAATATTGTTCACACAATCCCAGTGCCTGTTTTCCGTTCATTCATCACACACCTATCTGATCCTTTAAACTAACCTTGATTCTAGCTAAACGAGACTCCACCAGAAACAAATACTCCATGCCATCTAGCCTCTCAAGAGGTCATCTGCTTCTAGCCCATTAATACCTTTTTTTAAAGAGATTTGATTTATTTGAGATAGAGAAAGAGCACAAGCAGGAGGAACAGCAGAGGAAGAGGAAGAAGCAGGCTCCCCGCCGAGCAAGGAGCCTGACACGGGGCTCAATCCCGAGACCTTTGGGACATAGCCTGAGCTGAAGGCAGACACCTAAGCAACTGAGCCATCTAGGCACCCCTTGCCCATTAATACTTTTAAGAAAGCATGAAACACAAGGCCCCTGACTTGTTATGTTGTGAGGGTATGGGCAGAACTTCTAAGATTTCCATCAGTACTATAATCTGCCACATAGGTTTCTCTTTTCCCCATTCTCCTTGGCCCTTGAGAGGCCCACCCATACAGGAAACTGCTCAGGCCACTGAGCTGTGTACAAAGGAAAATGGGGTCCAGAGTGAGTCACAAGACCTCACCTCTCATGGAGTGGAGGCAGCATCAGGCAAGAGGTAAGAACCTTCTCCAAGGAGAGCCCAGGCCATGGGCAACAGAAAGTGGGCAAGACCTCACAGAAACCACAACTAAGAGTGAAGAATTGCTGCCCATCATCATGTCTTCTTTCCCTTTGTCAGGCTAGCCTTCTAAATGAAGTCTGATGCACCCACACACTGTAGGTGGGTGTTAAAGTTGGCCTGCCTCTCTCAAAATCTTCTAGACTGTGAACACCCAGGCTGTGTGCAGGGCAAGTAACAGTGTAGTGACTAAGAACCCAGTCTCTGGCATTACACTAACTTGGGTTCAAATTACTCATTGAGTTTGACAACAAGAACTACCATTTATTGAGTGCTTACTAAGTGCCAGGCACCGTGCTAAATGCTTACATGCATTAGCTCATAAAATCCTCAGAATAACCCCTTGCGGGAGGTGACCGTCAGACCCCATCAGATTGGAGGTACACCTAGTAACCTGCCTAAACCTAGGGCTATTCGAGCCCGAAGTCTATCTTCTTAACCAGTGAGATCAGCCTGTCATGGTGCCTCGGTTTCCTTATTTATAAAATGAAGACAATAATATCTAATCAAAGGCTGTTTTCTGGATTAAAAGGGATAATGTATATAAACCCTTAGCATTATACCTGGCACATATTAAGCGCTATGACTATTATTGCAACTATTATTATTAATAACACACTGCTGGTATCTTATTTGCTCAAGAATAAAAAGGAGCCTCAGCAGATAGGCATTTGGTGGAGAGGGGAAGGAGATGGGACAGGGTCTTCAAAAGGCCAAGAGATTTGAAACCCACTACCCATAAAATCTTAGATGCCACATATTCTGCCCTCTAGTCTCATAAATTACTCAAATATTCTACAAACCCCAACAACCAAAGTATATCTCCCAAATTGCCCTCATAGCTGTGAGCTCTTTGCTCTTGAAAACACAATCCACCTACAAACAGGTGAAAGTCTTGCTCCATTAAGAGACAGCCCCAGGTAAGAATAACCTCTAGCCACCTGAAAGGGGGTGACAGGGCAGAGCCAGGAGGAACAGAAAGACCGGAACACTGGACAGTGGTACAAGCAGTCAGCAGCTGGGACTCCATTCCTGAGAATGCCTGCCTGCTGCAGAGATGTGGATGAGCAGAGTCCAGGACCAAGATGAGGTGGGCCTAGAAGAGACCATTCACTCTTGATCACGTGGGCCAAGAGCAGCACCCTCTGCAGATCAGGCCATCAGGCCCTCGCCCAACAAGGGAAACCAAATCAGACAATGGGAGTGTCAAATGTCTTCCAAAAACTGGAAAATGGACAACTGTGTGGAGAGTGATCAAGGGAAAGAGAAGTTCCTTTTGACCAAGACAAGGACAGAACAATGAGACTCTGGCCAAGAATCAGCCCCTCTAGGGAAGAAGCTGAGGATTTGTTATAGCTGCTTCTTCAGAGTCCCTGCTGCACACAAGCACAGTGAGTATGCCCATGGTTCCCTGTCTTGTGATGTCTAGACAGCCACCTGGACATCCTCCTCCTAGCTGTTCCTCCCCTCCCTGACTCTGGAAGAACGGGAACCCTGGGAAAAGTAAAACCACCCCCTCGCTACTCCACCTGATACTCAGCACATCATCACAACGGGAAAGGAAGGTAGGCCCAGATGCAGTTACTCTGGAAGCCAGTGACGGTGCCTAAGATATTATGGACACAGGAAGAGGTTCCAGAATGACGGATCACATTGCATAGAGTAATGGAAATCTACTTACTTAGAAATTGACCTAGGGCAGGTTCCTAATAGAGAAAGGCCATTGCTGAGTTTTCTGAGCATTGACGCTCTTTGTCCTGAGTCATTTACGTCCTCCCGACCACCTCCATCGACATGGGGGTGCCGCTGAGCCTGCTGGGGACTCGTGGACAGTTTGAAGATCTGAACTCAGGAAACCATTAGGATCATCCTCCAGCCAACTCAGCAACTAGCTTAGATTCAATTCAGGGTCTGTTTAATCTTTAAAATGTGTTATGTGGGAAGATTCCAAAAATATAAGTTACAGGAGAAGCAGCCCAGTGGGAAAAAACAAATACTATGAAAATGGCTCCAAAGTCCACCTGTATAAGATTAAATGTTACATTCCACCCCTTCTAAAAGTGAGACACTCATTTCAGACATACATTATAGAATTAGAGATACAAAATACAAAAAACACTAAGAGTAAATAACTTAAAATATAATTATACTGTAGCTACTAATATGCTCAGAATATGAAACAGGCAAAAAATAATAAGCACAAATAAGATCCAGGTTGCCTTAGGGATTTCACTCTCAGAAGCAAAACATACATGTACACTTTCTCAATGCTGAGGGTGGTGAAGGGGAAAAGACTCAGGCATCCCATGAGCAGTCATGAGTTGGGCTTACCAGGGAGGATGCTCAGGCCCAACCCTTGGTAGAACCCCTCCCCACCTCCAGGTTTCCAGGACACCCTTGCTCATCAGCTCCCTCTGTAAGTGCCAACCCGGTGCTGGGCCTCCTCGGCTTGAAGAACCAATGCTGCAGAATTCCAAGCACACTTAACACCATCTCACAAAAGCAAGTGGGGCCACGGATCATCCCTATTCTGGTGAGCGGGGCAGTGCAAGGTGGAATGAGGCTTGCCTCTGCCCGGTGACCCTGGAGAAGCACTCTCGCTGCTCTGACCCTCAATGACCTCACTAGTAAGGTGCTCAGGACTCCGACCTGAGGTGCCTCCAGAGATCACTAGATTCTAAGCAAAAAACAAAGGTTTCTAAATTAGGACTGCAAGATAATGATGCAGAAACAAGTGGGGAATGGAAAACCACACATGGGAGGGAGAAACTGAAGTCACAACAAGGGAGAGCACACAGTTTCGGTCACATTTTATTTCTCACACACACAAAAAAATGGATCTGAAGCAAGTTATACCATTAATGAAGATCAGTCCAGGGGTATGTTAAAATAGTCTCCTGCATCTTGACCATACGGTGAAATATCCTAACAAACGCGAGAATGAAAAACACTGCATATTCAGAGACACAAGGTGGCTTTGCTTTCCTGGCTACTAGGCTCTAGGAAATTCCTCTTCTCTGACCAGAAAGCAGGTGGGGAAAACAGAAGATAAAACCCAAGCTGACCTTCTGGGGTTCTTGCTGAGAGCTCTAGTGAGAATCCAGCTTCAGTTTCCTAGGACCCCAGAGGCTTCCTCGGTGACCACTTCCACAGAGGAAGGTGCCAGGCACCCTGATCCCAAAGACGGTCTTCTGCAAGGGCTGCTGGGCTCCAGCCACCAAGGCCCCCACCATATGCCCACACTAAGGCAACAGAAACAACCAACGCCTTGTGTCTCTGGTTTCAGAAAACAAGTTCATTCTTCAATGTGAAAACTAGATTTGTTACTAATGACCTTCACTGTTTAAGATTTATCAGTGAGCTACTGACTCATCTCAAGGTCAGGCATTTAGTAATGGCCTGAAATCTCTTGCTGTTTGGGTGCCCAGGCCACAACTCGATACCCACAATTAGCCTCTGGTGACATGAACTTGCTCAGCCAGAATCACAGAATACTGGAATTAGGGGAGCACTCAAGATGAGGACCAAGAAAGTGCTGTGTCCTGCCAGATGGTCACATCAGGATCACACAGCCAGAACAGAAACCCCATGTAAAAACCCATTTTGTTTTTAAGGGGCCTCGGCCCTGAACCAGAAAAGCCATGTACTGAAATGGAAGTACAAGCTCAGAGGGGGGAAAGTGGCTTCAGTGCTGCAAACGTGGGGAAAGCCACGCAGTGATCATAAGCTGCAATGTTGAGAGGGGCCGGCTGCCCTGCGCCAGACATATCAGTGACCTAAGCTGACTGTGAACAACCAGGGAAGGCTGATTTAAACAGAAACAGAATGAACCAATAGCAGACCAAGGTGCTGAAGCAAGTCACTGCACCCTCATTTGGCAATGAGAACCACCATGGCACAGAATAACCGAACACCTGGGCACCAAGTTCTCTCTCCTAACCTCCCTTCTTGTCCTGACAAAGAACTTGTTGCCCCAAAGTCAACCTCACTCCTATAATCAGGCAGGGGGAAAAAAAAAATCACAGTTTAAAAGAAAAAAAGGTCCCTCAATAAAATACAAACTACATTTAAACTGGTCACATTATATATATATGTATATATAAATGTGCATGTAATCTTCAGAATAGTCACACCTCTAATCAGGTTAGGTTTTCCAGAGTTGTAAGCAGGATTTTGTGGTTTCAGTGAAGAAGTCATGGTACAACTGAAATCACAGTAAGAAAGAAGTGATTTTTTAAAACACAGATACACACTTGCCGTAAGAGTAGTATATATACAACACAGCAGCTATAAGGGTGGTCAGTCAGGCAAAGGGTGAGTGAACAAGAAGCCCCCTGCTCCCTGCCTAACAGGAAAGCCCCCAGAAAGGATTCAGCAGCAACAAGTCTACAGCACAAACGTGAACAGTAGCGTCCCTGAAAAGACATAGCTGGACTACCCAAGAGGAGCCACTTGAGTCTATAACCTGTGGAAAAGGGCTCGGTTACAGTACATTCTACTGCATACACTTGAAATATTACAGTGTATTTTTTCAGACTATTATAAATAATTTCTAGTGCTTCCTGAAGAAAAAAATGTTGAAGCCGCCTTTCAGTCTATGATGAAGTAAGGTGAACCCATATCAAAGCAGAGCTCATACTCCGCAGGACTTTGTGGGTAGAATGCTTATCTAATTAACAAACTTTTGTCCCTCCGGCGTACAGAAGGCAATTGTCCCATCATCCCAGGGCAGGAATTCTTGAGAAGCCCAGGTGAAAGCTCTCCAGTAGCAAAGACATCCAAGCTATGCACCTCTTCCCAGCTGGGGGCAGCTACAAAGACGACAGGCCAGGGGACCCCCTGAACTGATCAGACACAGATGAACATCCACTTTCTGATCGAGTCCAGAAACAGAGGCTCTAGCTTGGGAGCAAGAAGCACAAGCAGATGCACCCTGGTTGGACAATACTGTCTTTCAGGTTAAAACTTTTTTTAAAAAACCCAAATGGTCTTTACCCCCGTGACTTCTTTCCAACTCAAAGCCGTAATTTATCCACGACCCAAATCATAAGCACAAAGACAGTATATACAGATTGTTTTTAAAACCCACAAATAAAAAACACTCTACTCCCCCCTCAAAAAAAAAAAAAAAAAGAAAAGAAAAGAGAAAAACAGGGAGTTGAAGCCTCGTCGTTGTCTGAATCACATCAGTGGGGCTTGCCTTGGAACCTGGCCCCTTGCTCCGTTTGCTCCTGCTGTCTCAGCCCCAGGGCCCCTATTCATCCTCCGTGGCAACTGTCAGCATCCCCTTGTCAGCCAGGTGAGATCTAAGTGTGTTGAAGATGTGAAGCTGTTGATCTGGACGCAAGGTCAGGAACTGCTGAATCAGCTTGCTTGGGTTGGGGCCCCTGGAAGAGAATGTGAGGAAACAGGAGCCCATCAGCTTCTAAGGCCTGATTACCCAAATGGTTGCTGTTCTCTCTGGATTCTCTACTCATGGAGGGCAGGATGGGGGGGCCCTTAGAGAATCCAGACAGAGTACAACTAAAAACCGCATTCATGTTTGGGACGCTTTTCACTCCAACTGATTTGTAGCTCAAATTCTAGAATTTCACCACATTCAAAATTCCACCAACATGGTTCAGATGGAATGGCACAGTACCTGATAAAACTGGCAATGTACACGTTGACAAAGGTGGCCATCAGGTACTGGCAGTCAAAGCGATCCATGATGCCTCCATGGCCAGGAATAGTGTTGGCGAAGTCCTGTTTGAGGCAGAGGAAGGACTGGTGAGCCTGGGCTAGGCCAACACCAAACCCTGGCCTATGGTCCCTTGTCAATGCCCCACTAATGTCCTGAGTAGCTAAGGGCAATAGAAAGTAAGAAGTGTTGGTTCAGGGGGATTCCTGGGTGGCTCAGCGGTTTAGTGCCTGCCTTTGGCCCAGGGAGTGATCCTGGAGTCCCGGGATCGAGTCCCACGTCGGGCCCCTTGCATGGAGCCTGGTTCTCCCTCTGCCTGTGTCTCTGCCTCTCTCTCTCTCTGTGTCTCTCATGAATAAATAAATAAAATCTTTTTTTAAAAAAAAAGTGTTGGTTCAAATGCTGAGGGTATTATAGAACACAATCTTATGGTAAAAGGTTTCCTCTGAAGAAAGATACAACATATATTAACAAATAAACTGAAAATCCAACTACAGTTGACCCTTGAACAACAGGGGTTTGAACTACATGGGTCTACTTATACTTGAATTTTTTTTCAGTAAATACAGTAATGTAAATGTGTTTTCCCTCACAATTTTTTCAGTAAATACAGTAATGTAAATGTGTTTTCCCTCACATTCTAAGATTTTATTTATTTATTCATGAGAGACAGAGAGAGGCAGAGACACAGGCAGAGGGAGAAGCAGGCTCCATGCAGGAAGTCTGATGCAGGATTCGATCCCAGGACCCCGGGATCATGATGTGGGCTGAAGGTAGATGCTCACTCACCAAGCCACCCAGGTGTCCCTCTTTCTAATTTTCTTAACCACATTTTCTTTTCTCTAGCTTACTTTATTGTAAGACTACAGTCTATAATACATATAACATACAAAATATGTGTTAGTCAACTGTTTATCAGTAATTCTTCCAGTAAAGTTATATGTGAATTTTCTACTGTGTGGGAGAATGGGGATGGTGGAAGGGAGCAGTGCTTCTAACCCCTGCATGTTCAAGGGTCAACTATACTGAATTTTCTTGGAAACAATACTGCTCTTGTTTTTGTTGTTGTTGTTGTTTTAGAGAACATAAGGCAGTGGGGGGGGGGGGCGGATGTGCCCAGGGACAGAGAGAAAGAATCTTAAGCAGGCTCCACACATGGGGCTCAATCTCATGACCCTGAGAGTCATGACATGAGCTGAAATAAACAGTTGGACACTTAACCAACTGAGCCACTCAGGAGCCCCAGAAACAATGTACTTTTAATTAACCAGCCTAAATTCCACCCATAAGTGAAGAAGAGCACACATTAGTCAGTTTACAGCTTGGTATTTTGAAGGAGGTGGTGGTTGATGGGGAGGGAAAGGAGGATATCAGGTTGAGAGACAACGAGAACAACAGAGAAGAGAGTTTTCCTACTTTGATTTTAAAGGCTCGTTTGAATCCACTTGCAAAGAAACCTCCAAAGGGGCCGATGAGCGAGGCAAAAGTGGACAGGGCAATGCTGTGAATCTGGAAGGGGTACATCCAGACTGTTGTCTGAGAAGAATAAATGAAATCAGTCAAGATGCCTTGTTAACATAAATAACTCTTTATGAAATGAACTATATTTTCTCCCCAAAAAACAAAATTAGTAAGAAAACTAGATTTTGTTTATAAATCTCTAATGCCTGGCTTAATAGAGAACATTTATGCATTCAGTCTGTTGTAATATGATGTTTTAGTTGAAGTATGTGGAAAAAATCCAGCCTTACACAGTAGCTGAAAGAAGGAAGAGTATTTTAGCATTGTCTTTTCAGATAATTATAGGTATTCTTCTCTGACACTACACCAGAACTGGACAAGTGGTAGTTTCTTAAAATTTGGTGCAGTGTGGAATTTGAAATCCAATGAATGAACTTATAATACTCTTAACATTGAAATCCATGGGTCTGTCTTACACTTTGAATGAATCTTTTACCCCACCTGACGGTTTAAACACCATGCATTCATTGGCCATTTAGACAATGATAGTTCACTAAGTTCTATAAATCTTCCAAATGTAGACACATTTTGCTATAAACAATGTCAAAACACATGTCAAAATAATCATTATGTTAAAATCATTATAAAAATCCCCACACAAAAATCATTGCAGCTCACATCCACAAAGCTTTGAAGTATTAGGAAGCTGTCAAGCTCCAGTGACAGGTATATACTTTCCAAAATACTAATTTTCACTAGGAAGCCAAATTCTATCATTGGTAACAATCACTGTCAGGTGTTTTCCTTGAAGTGACAGGCTCACTTCATCCGTTTTCAAAGAAAATGTTTGTCAAATATGCAAAGTTGAAAAACTAGTCAGTTTAAGTAAAAATTATGTCCCTATAAAAAAGCAGCTAGCTCAGCTCATAAACAGGTACATGTCTGCTTTTCTTTAGGTAAAGGAAATGAATACTTTCTATTTGTGTGTGTAGGAGTACTAGATAGGTATGTATTCAAGGGTCAGGATTTAATAAAATGAATCATTTTATGGTTTCACCAAAGACACTCTTAAGAGGAACTACCTTATTCTTACAGCAAGTGTGTGGCATGAAGAATCCAATGTCTTAGTTCAGTTAGGTGCCACTGCCTTCACTCATGCTAGAGTATCAGCAAGTTTACCCACCACTGCTTTTCACCTTTCACAGCAAATGTCAACAAGGTTAAAAAAAGGCAAATAATGTCATTATATCATTATGAAAATAACTGTGACCTCAGAGATTCCCTAAAAGGATCTCAGGTACTCCCCAGACCACAGTTTGAGAACCACTGGTCTAAATCAATTGAAGTGAGATGAAATGTTTCCTTCTGTTCTCACCCTTATCTGACTTGAACAAGTCTCCTCCACGCTGGGATCTGCAGCATTGTGGAGGGAGGAAGCAAGGTTTTTTCTTGAGGGAGTTGCCATGGTGGAGAGTGGGCTCGCTCTCTGCAGTCACTAGCTAACCAGGGATAGTTTGCCCAACGTGAGTGGCACATACCAAGCCAATGACTGACTGGATCACCTCAGGAATGTTGTACTCCTGCAGACGAAAGAGGTCGGAGGGCTCGCAGTCCACAGTAAAGCTGTTGGTGTCATTGTTGTATTCCACAGGGCAGACAAAGCATCTGTACCCGGACATCACATAGGACAGCTGAGGATAAAGAGCAGAGTTGGGCAGAAGATACAAGTCCCAGCCATCCTGCCTGAGCAGCTCGCATGGGGTTTCACTGCATCTCTCACAGCGCCTAGGACCCTGCTAACTGTGAGCTGTGCACTACATCAGAGGTTCATGTTTCCCCACAAGTATTTTGCCTGAGTTTGGAAGAGAATTGAAAAAGAGGTTCATGGCCCACTGAGGCTTTACACATAGTTGCCCAAACACCCAGGTCGAAATCCAGGAAAGACCTGAAGGAATTTGGGCAAAGGACTACAAGAAGCTTCTCCCCATTTAGGGGAGCAATGGTCCCTTTTTCTCAAGATCTCTTAATTTAATTTGAACTGGAGGCATGTTGTCAGGGAGTGGTATCGTGAGAGACAGCCAGCCTAGAGGAAGAATATAGAAGAGCAAGGAAGTAAAAGAACCAGTACTGGAGGACGGCTGGCACTTCTGAAAAAAGAGAGGCTGGCCTGATGGTCAGAAGCAGGGAATGCTCCAGAAAGGGTGGGAAGATTGTCCTCCTCCCACAGGGCACACATGGGAGAGAACCTGGGCTGGAGTGGCATAGCTCACCTCACCTCCTACTCTCAGCTACCAATCACTCAACCTTGAAATACCAAATGTGTAGATAAGGACATTACCTGCTGAGTGTCACCACGCCTTGGCATGAGAGGAGTACAGGTGCATCTGGCCCCCTGCTCCTCAACTACCAAGACCCTATTTGAAAACTGGCAGATGAAGGACAGCTGACTCTGCCGAGCCAGTGACAGAGCAGGCCATGCTCATGCCCCTCACAGGGTGAGGTAATCACTCAGTGGGACAGAGTCCTTGGCCTCAGGAAACCAGCTCTCTAGCCCTCGGTAAGCTTTGATGGTAGGTGTGAGGTCTCTGTCCATTCCCCCAAGCAGCAGGGAATCACCGCTTACCAGCAGGCCAAACACCACAGTAGCAAAGAATCCTCCAATGAAGCCTTCCCAGGTCTTCTTCGGGGACAGCTAGGGACAAAGAACAAATTCTTAACAAAGGGCATTTTGACAACTGGCTTTGGAAACAATGATTACTTGTTTAACATCTTTCTACTATAAAAAAATAAGAAAAAACAAAACAAAAAAAAAGCCCCACCTCATTCTGTTAACCACCTCCCCTTCTAAAATAACCCTATACTAGATCTCCTTACTCCCAGCCTCATACCCCTCAGTTTCCTTTCTGTCCCAATTAGTCATTCAAGTCAGATAATTAGGAAAGGGTATACTAATTTAATGACAACACTCAAATTCAGAACAAAGCCCCCAGAATGTGCCTATTTTGCCTATAAACATTCTATTAGCTCTTTTCCTCTCTATGAATAGTTGTCAAATGTCTTCCTTTGGCTTTTCTCTCAAAACTAAGTCCTTGCCAGCTAGACTTTCTTTGGGATGACTGAAGATACACACACATACACAGGCTAGATTTCTTTTGTTCCCAAGCTGCTCTGCTTGTACTGAAAGCACTACCCTTCCCTCATGGCAGTACTTCATATTGGGATGACCCACTTACTTTAATGAGAGGGGTCCGACCGAAGAAGAAGCCAAACATATAGGCCATAATGTCATTACAGATCACACAAGAGATAGGGACAATGAACCTAGGGAACAAACCAAAGTAAAAATCAACTTTCCTAAGATGGCAATACCTCAGATGTCTACAAAACAATGCCGTTCATCAATTCCAATACCAATGAAACCTGTAAGTATTTATCCATGAAAGAAGCTAGAAAGAAATAAAAAACAAACTACACCTAGTACTAGGGACAAAGCAGACATTCACATGTTTTCTGAATAACTCCTGAATAAATGATAGTGTTCTCTAAAGTGCCATTTGCTTTTTCTTTTACAAAAGTAATATATGCACAGTGTAAACGCGGTAATACAAATTTGAACTGTAAAGAAGAAAACGTTTACCCTGTTTCCCTCATCCCTATCTCTATTCCCCCAAAATAATTACTTGTACTCATTCCTGACTTCTCTCCTTCTAGTGGTTACCTACATAATTCTATGCAGTGTATTTCATGTTTATTTCATAACTTACCTACTTTTTTTGTAAATGGTTTATGACTAGCTCTAGTGAGCACTACATTTCCCTAGGGCTATGCTGAGCTCAGAACCACATCCCACACCCCACACAGCTAGCTATCTTCTTGACCCACCACCCCTGGCCTGCTGATCGCCACCATGAAAAAGGAGCCGTACAGCTTCACACCTGTACCATCGTTCTGCTCTCCTCACTCTCCACTATCACTTTTTTAAAATGTCCTCTATTTAAATTTCCATATTTAACATGATATACATAAATCTCTGATTTCTTGACCCATCAATTAGAGCCAACATTTTCTGTTTGTTAAGAGAGCATCTGTATCGTCCCAAACCCATGCAATGTCAAAGTTCTACTTTGTCGAGGCTTCTAGCACATATTCTCTGCTCTTCATATTTTCTACATCTATAATTAAATCCTATAGGTTGAGTGAAAACCAATAACCAGAAATTTTACTATGATTCACATACAACCAAATGGTATGTTTGGCCCTAAAGATAAGGACTTATCATGGGCCATTCCTTAGAATTATCTAACAAAAACTCTGAAAGAAAGGGAAAGAGTGTGTGCCTCTTTAAGCCATTATTATCATTGTTTTAAACATTATAGTGCCTAAGGCCAACATTTATGTCTCTGTTCTAAGCACTTTACATATAGTTACTAATTTATTCCTCAGGAGGTAGGTATTACTATAACCTCATTCTGAGATCTGAAAACAGAGGCACAATCTGGAGTCTTAATCACACTTGAGTACCTCATATAAATTAGGATATGCCTTCATCTTCTCTCCAAGATCATCCAGCTTCCTCAGTCAACCTCCTGATTTCTGTAAATCCTGACAGATTTCTTGCTGAAACCATTGTACTTCTGGAAAAAAATTTACTAAGTAATAACTACTATATGGTTCTTTTGACACATTGCCAGATTCTATTTGCTAATAGTTTATTTATAATGGTTACCTGTAATCATTAAAGAAATCAGTGTAACATTCTTCTTTCTACCTCCCTAAGCTTATTAGCTTTCATATGAAGGGGTAGACAAAACTCTGCTATTATCATTGGTTGCTTTTTCCCCACATGTGGATTCTTAGGCAATTTTCAAAGTTCTTCTATAGTTCTTGATCTTTTCAAGTTTTCTTCTTCATGACTTTTGGGAGTTTACATTTTCCCAGATCATGAAAGTTTCCTTTAGTTTTTCAAACCTGTTGCCATACAGTTGCATTGTCTTTGATTCTTTAATTATCCATGTATTTGTTAGTCTAGAATATAGGTTCTCAAAGTATAGGTACTGGCGGCGGCAGCAGCATCACCCGGGAATATACTAGAAATTCTCATTACTGAATCTATTGAAGTAGAAACTCAGGAGGGAGGCCCAGTGATGTGTGTTGTATGTAACTAGCCCTGCAGGGGATTTTGATGTAGCTCAAGGTAAGAACTCCTGGCTTAGAAGGTAAGCTTGAGTTCTCAGCCTACTGGACATGAGAAAACCCACAAAATAAAAGGGAAAATCTCCCTCACTGACATCACTCACCAGATCATTCCTTCAAACAGGTTGTGAATAACGAGATGTGACTGAGTCACAACAATCAATAATGTTACATGGGTCCAGCCAAACTGCAAAAGATGATCAAAAATACATTTGACCTATATGTTACCCTGAAAAGAACTTCAAATAACAGCCAATAACAAATAGAAAATAGCTTTTAAAAAAAAAAAAAGACAAAAACAAAAACAGGTAGAATAGATGTCTGTACTTGTCTTACTATAAGTAAAAAGGTACAGAACAAGCATTTGGTATGAACTTTGCCCCCAGCTACAATTAGAGACCACAGATGAGCAAGTCTTTCTCCGCTCTGAAAGCCTAGGTTTCATCTCATTTTCTCAATAAATGTTGAGTGCTGGGGCGTTTGGAGTGGCTCAGTCAGTTAAGCGTCTGCCTTCAGCACAGGTCATGATCTCAGGGTCCTGGGATCAAGCCCTGTGTCAGGCTTTCTGCTCAGTGGGAAGAGTCTACTTCTCCTTTTGTGTGTGTGCATTCTCTAAGTAAATAGAATCTTTGTAAAAAATGTTACTTGAGTGCTTGGTACACTCAGTCAGGGGTTGTTTTCAAGTTGGAAGAGAGAGGTAGCAGGGCCTGAAGCTTTACCTTGAGCCTTACTTGAAAGCCACCTCCAGGTCCTAGTGGAAAGACTGCCTGGAGTATAAATTAAGTAAAAGTGACTGGGTCTATGTGGATGCAGAGCCACCTAACTTAAACAGAGACACCCCTTCATGTTCTAGGTTCTAGATGCACACAAAACAGACTGCATTCCAGAGTTCCGATTTGTCACAGAAAGCAGAGTCTTGTTGAGTTTCTGCAGAACTTCACTTAAGCCAAGAATTCTGACACACATACATATATTTCCCTTACCATGTAGAACTGCAGTCGATAATGCTTCTTGACCAGACTCAGTACAAACATGCAGAATCCTAGTTTGGGGAGGAGAAAGGGCAAAATGAATCACACCCAGCATTATCTCTGTTCTAGTCATTTCCTTTAGATGTGTTAAATGGTCCTTTGGCCAATTTCCTGGCAGAAGTTAACCAGCACACAATTCCAAAGCCCAGGGGAATAAACCTAGTTATTCCAGTAAGAGTTAGGAACAAAACTGCACTCCTTCAAGACAATCAAAGGAAGGCAATATTTTTAAATCTTGCAGACTACACTTGATTTAGAACACTGTTCACCAGATAGGAATGTTTTGATCCTAGAGCAGGGGTCAACCAACAAAGGTCAGGCCAGCTGCCTGTTTGCCTATTTATTTTATAAATAAAATTTTATTGAAACAGCCATGCCCATTTGTTTATATATTATCTGGGGTTCTCCTTTCGTGCTCAAGGGCGGAAGAGTTGCAACAAAGACTCAATGGTCCCCAAAGCCTAAAATACTATCTGGACCTTTATGAAAAAGTTTGCTGACCCTATCCTAAATTATAGGTTTGGCTAAGGGAGGATCTACCTAGTATGGAGTCAGGGCCTTGCATTTCTCACAAAAAAGAAAAAAAAATCTGCAGGCCCACACACTCCTCCAGGAAAGAAAGAGACTTTTACCCACAGAGTGGCTTGGCCCCTCATGTGGCTATTCCAGACTCCTGACCTCCCACTGTGGGGGCTACTTTCAGGGTCTGAGGCATGCTCTTTGACTATGTTCAACAGCAACAGACTCCTTGGCAATGGATTTTCTGGTTTAATGGCCAGGTGTTATTCACAGAGCCCAGTATTGCTATCAAGCTGATCAAAAATAGGTCAGACTGAAATTTAGGTCAGAACAAATTTCTCCTGTGCCTCAAACTGGCTTTGAGAGTAACTATGAAAAACACTAGCATTAACACTTAACACTCAGGTAAGAGTGAGTTTAGACTGACACAGCACCTTACTGTTTGTCAACTTTTAATGTATCTGATTAAATCTTCACAGTACCTCTGCTGTTTTAGCTCGACTACAAAAGAGTCTCAGAGATTAAGCTCCCAGGTCCTATGAAGTCACACTCTTTTTAAACCCAGATAGGTAAAATTTCTACCACACTGTAATGGCCCTCGTGCAGCTCCTCAGGTGACTCCCCTAAAGGTAGCTGCTTGTTTTTATACCCAAACTCCTAGGTGGTTTTTGTTTTGATCACACCACAGAATCTCTGCCAACAGCAGAGTCAGGAATGGACTGTGTTATGCTGTCCTCCAAAGGAGGCTGGGACACAGGGACAGGTGGCATAAACTATAGTCCCTAAAACCACACAAGGCCCTCAGTCCCATTTCTTAGTCAAAAGCTGCTATGACTCACATTTAAGGCAGAGCCCTCAGCTCTGCTGTCCCACACAGACTTAACATCATCCAACCTGTGCATTAACCAAGAAGTTCCCCAACTTCTAGTCAGCAAATGTACAAAAACAAGACAAACACAAGAACTGGTAAACCACTAAATGCCTACCTATTAGATAGAGAGTAAAGGAAATGAAGCGGTGGTATTTACTGAGAATCCGCAAAGGCTCCTCTCTCTGGACCAGAGTGAAGAAGTAATCTGTCACTGTCTCGCCATAGAAGAAGTAATTGACACACAGGAGGAAGTACCTGTAAATGAAGACAGGTCACCACCATGGGGAGCACACATGTAGCCTCTCCTTCACAGTGAGGCTGACAGGAAGCTCTGAGGATCAGAGCAGCAGTCCACCCGAACCCTCCCGTGGCAGCTCCCAGAGGGACAAGCCAACCACAATTTCCTGTTCACTGGAGACCCTGTGGGTGAGAAGTTTTATCTGGAAATCCATGGCAGTTTTCACTCACTCTCCATTCATCACAAACCTGAGACTCAGTTTTCGCCCCTTTTATAAAGTCACCATGCCTAACCTAAGAACACTCCAACCATAAGATGACCTTCCAGAGCCTGCCTCATCCTGCCTCCCCATCCTGTTCCCACTCTTCTGGGAACCCTGCACACCTATCACAGTGGTTTACTCTGGCTTTGCCGCCATCTGTTTCACTCCTATCTCCCCCAGCCTGGGACATCCTCTTCACTTACCCATTTTGTCACTCATTACTCAAATACCATTTTCTTCATAAAAGCTTGCACAACCTAGCATGGTATCTGCCTCCTCCATGTTTATTTCTATAGTATGTAGTATTTGACCATTTCACTAAGCAATTAATTGTGCTCTGAGTATCTCCGTCTCTGAAGCCTCTCTGACACATAAACCTTTCACCAGCATTAATTCATTTGTTTATAACCTGCCTCCTCCACTGGACCTCTGGGAAGGGAGAGGCCATGGCTCATATACCTTGGCAGTCTCAGTGATGCGTTGGAGTATGGGCGCACACAGACCTACTCCAAATACTCAATCAGGATCCTGAGGTAGAAAAGAGAGTAGAGAGCTTCTCTCCTCTATTTTCTTTCTTCTTCTTTTTTTTAATTGTGGAAGTTCAAGAACTCTCAAATTGGATTTGTTTTCTGTTACATGAAAAACACTCCCTTAGGTCAGTGACCACAACAGAAGGTCAGAGATCCTGAATGTGTTTAACAAAATTTAAAATACTGCTTCCCAGCTATAGGACAGTCACAAGAGAGACCTACATCTTAACCCAGGTGACAGGCACAGGCCCATGTGGAGACCATGAGGCAGGCTGCACGGCTGGGTGGTAAGGAAGCATCTCTGGGAAGGATATGTCTGGCCCAAGTCTGAGCACTTCAGCTCCCTTGGCCAGAAGCCCTCATCTTGGGCTGCTAAGTCATGGAACCAATCCCTGAGTCCCAGCACAGCAGGTGAGAAGATTCTGTATTTGCCCCAACTCCTCTCAGCACCACACAAGAGATCTGTTCTTGTGTTCCCTGAGGACACTGAAGCCAATAAAACAGAGTTTCAGATCAGGACAGGATCTCAGACATCACCTGTGCTACAGGTTTTAACTGTGTTTCTGCCTGAAGGCAGTCGAGCCCTTTCCTAGGACAAAGGGAGCAGCGTTTCTCAGAGGAGACCAGATCCTCTACATTTGGATCCTGTGCACTCTGGCCCATTAGGTGGCTCCATCCTGAGGAACGGGGGTGGGGGGGGTGGGAGGAAGGGGGGCTGTCCAAAGTTGACTGACTCAGTCTCAACCAACTGTCTCAAGGACGAGGAAACCAAGTTCCAGAAATAGCAACACCAGCACTGACAACCTACAGATGACTTTTATGGGACGCTCAGATAGCAGAGCATTAAAAACATGGTCTAGAATTGGGGGCCACTGGGCAAAGTCTGATGAATCCAAACACCAAGGCCAACGTGCTCAAGATGTAGCCAGTATGGGAGATTCCAGGCCCCAGGTAAGTATTCAACACTCCTCACATGCCAGCCACATAAAATACTTGGGTCTTTTTTTTTTCTTTAGATTTTTTTTTAAATTTATTTATTAGAGACACAGAGAGAGAGAGATTAAGAGAGAGAGAGAGAGAGAGAGAGAGAGAGAGAGAGGGAGGCAGAAACACAAGCAGAGGGAGAAGCAGGCTCCATGCAGGGAGCCTGATGTGGGACTCGATCCCGGGTCTCCAGGATCAGGCCTGGGACAAAGGCAGCGCTAAACCGCTGAGCCACCGGGGCTACCCAAAATACTTGGGTCTTAAAGGTGCCATGTGAGTCGGTGGCCATCACTCCCCACCTATCCACCATGACTGTAAATACCTACCATAAAATGCTTTTCGTCCAAATCCATTAAGGGCCCCTGTGGGGTTAGCGGGCTTACCAGCTGAGGGTTCTGAACCAGGGCAGGTCATAGGAGTGGTAGACATTGTAGCCAATAGTGATAATCTCATGGAAACACTTAATCTGAACACACATCACCTGCAAGACATTAAAGAATCAGAACACCTGCTAATTCCCAGTTCTTAACCATCTTGGGAAGCAAAAACCCACACATGGGTCATGGATCTTGGAAAGAAACTATCATATTTAAGAATGTCAGTCCTACAGTGATTCTGCTCTCCTTCTCCTTTCTCACTCACACCACCCCCCTTGGCAGTGCAGTCCTTTATGTCTCACATAGGAGATCCAATAAATACATACCACTGAAGCTTCAATTAACTTTTTATTGTACCTCCCTGGACTCAATTAATCTCTTCTCCTTTTCACTTTGAATAGAAACACCTGAAAAGCCCCAACTGCTTTGCTCAGCAGTCAGCCACTAGTCATCTGACCCTGTCCATGACAGCAGGAAAACTAAGAGAGCAGTGCTGTGGACTGGGATTTTTAAATCAAAGTCCTAAGCCCCACAGTGAGGCCCCAGGAAAACAAGAAACAAAAATCAGAATCACACAGAGTCATAGCCAGGGTCACAGGCTAATCAAACAGCTGAAATAATAATCAACTTTTAAAATGAAGAGATATCTTTAACCACACACAGCTGGCCTGTGCCAACACCCTCCAGTTGGCTCCTAAAAAGGGAGAGGTCAGATATTCTAAGGCAGATGTGGTCTAAGGAGCCGGAACTCCCACTGATGCCCAGAAACCAACCCAATGCCCTACACTTCAGATGACTGATCCCGTGGGAAAAAAATGAAGGCAAACTAAAATAGTATGCAAATGACACTTACAATGATCATTAAAACCATTGGTCCCAGGTAAATGATGATGAAGAAAAATGCAATCATGGCCAAAGTCAGGATGCCTCTCACCCACCAGTTCTTCCATCTAAGAGAAGAGGGGAAGGAGAAAGCATGTTAAGGAGCCCAGAAAGAAGTGCAGCACAAACCCAACGGGGATGGCTCTTTGTGGAAGGAGAAGTCAATCCCTTCACCTCAACGGAGATACTAGCCACAGGCAGGCAGAAGAAGGGCAAACAGAGCCATCACTTCACCCACACCAAACTCAGCAGGTGCTCCAAAGCCTACAGAAAAATATATCCAGCTTTTATCTTAACAAAGCAATCAGGCAAAAGTCCCAAGGGAAATGTGGTGCCTACTTCTGTACCTACTTGGATGGTTTCTATGGCTCTCAGTCCAAAGAAAAAACAACGTATATATTTCCAGCAGCAGAATCCTACATCACCCTGCATCTTTATGGTGAGAACAACACTAACTGACGATAATAATGATCAGAAAGATGCATTTGGCACTTTTATAGGGCCTCTGTGTATATTAATGCATTTAACCCTCAACACTAGTAACCTTTACAGAAAAGGAAAAGGATGCACAAATCAGACAGCTGGGACGTGGTCAAACTGAGATTTGAATCCTGGGAGTCTGGCACCAGAACCCATGTCCTCGACAACTGCACAATACCAACTTTCAAAGAGACATGTGTATGGGAGACACACATAGAGCCACCTTCAGATGATGTTTTGGGGTCTTAAAGTTTGTGTTTTTCATCTGACCACCTAGCCAGTGTTGGAGAATCAGAGTTTCAAGGGACTAACATTTTAACCCTGGATTCACTTGCGTTGAGATTTCTCAATTCTTCTGGGAGAATTTAAGGAACGTCCACAATGCATATGTGTGGGTCAGGGAAAACTAAACTCTGACCTAGATAAGTTGGGCTCCTCTGTGAAAAGCAGCCCGTCTATTAGACACAAGCCCCTTTGCATGTTGTGTCAGCAACCTTGCCCACCACCACCCCTTTGTCCACACTTTCCCCACCTTCCTTGGATGACTGTACCTTCCAGCCCAGCCTACAGCACCCTTCAAGGGCCAGATCCTTCTAGATTATGCCCATAGTAGCCAGTAAGCACTAGATCACATTTAGCGGAGACCCGAGCAGAAGCGGGGAGACCGTGGCCACTGCTGCTAGGCAGGCCCCTCACCCACATACTGTCATAGCTGTGGGGCTCATGTCCTAAGACTGCAGGCTGTCTGAGGGCTCTGTGTCTCCCCTGGCACCTGGACCTGGAGCAAGGACCCCACAAGCATCTGCTCATGAAGCCAGGTTACCTTGAAGACAAGTTGGAAAGGGCCCTGTTGAGGACCTCTGGTGTATCATCTGTAGAGGCTGATAAAGGAGCAGCTTCTGCTCGGCTCTCACTGTCCGATGCAGTCTCTCCATCTACCTTTGCTTCTGTCTCTGATTCCTACATGGCAGAAAAACAGATGAGGAAAAGATCAAAAATGCTTAGCAGGATAGTGATGAATACATGCCTGTCATAGGAGATCTGTGGGAAAAGATACCACCCCCACCCACCCCCGCCCCAACAAGGCTCAAGGACCTAGCACAATCAAGTGACAAAACAGATGGGACACACAGTGATCCCAACACTGTTGTGACATGTGCCAAAATGGCCAACTCTCTGCTGGAAGTGAGGCACACATCTGTACCATGGGGAAATGAGTTACAGCCACAATCTGCTCAATCCCCCTTGCCTGGCCAGGGACAGGAGAGGAAACAGTCCAGACAAGGGAGAAAGGGGCTCTTTTGTATCCAAAGCCAAAGGAGAGGCAGGCCTGATTTCATCAGGACCTCATTCCTGACCCTGCCCGTGCTGCCAGGTTTACTACCTATTAAGGGTTTGGCCGCTGGCACCCAGGAAGACACATCCACCTCTAAAAAACCCCTCTCCACCAACACCTATATCATGGAGGAAACAGTCCCTGCTCTATGAGGAGGACTCCTAGTGCCACCAGGGTGGCCCACGGTTCTGGCAAAGCTCTTAGAGAAAAGCTGGGTGTGCAGGCTATCCCGCACTGGACCCCCTCAAAGTCCACAGTGCTACTTCCAGACTCCACAAGAGCACCCCATGCAGAGGCCAGCCCCAGTCAGTGTGGAAGCCACATAGTACTGCTTACTAGAGTCAAGGCTTCAGCAGGAGTGGTATGCCACTGTCCCTTCCCTGCCATGCAGCTCAGTGCGGTATCACTCAGAATTGCCATATGGGCTCTGGCTACATCAGAAACTCACCCTGCTTGCCAATCCCGATGAGGGGACCAGAGTCATGCCAGCAATAGGCTCTCTATCCAAAGTACCAAGGACAGGCTGCTCTGAATCCTAGGGACCCTACTACTCAGAGCATTTATCTCTTACAGGAATTTAAAATCACTGCTGTTGGGGAGATGAGAGAGAAATCAAATCGCTTCAAATTAGAGTCTAACAATACTGCTTCGTATTTGCAGAGCTCTCAACAGCTGTAAGAATGTTTCCCCATACCTGTTGTGAACCTCAGAGAAGTTTTGGAAGGAAGGGAAAGGAGACCAGAGATCTCTACAAATGAAGAGACAGAGGCTCTGAGAAGTTCAGTGGTGGGTCCCAAATCTATTAACGAAGGTCTTCTGACTTCCAGGTGTTCATCCCACTAAATTTCCTTTAAGCATCTTGGAATCCATTGCTTTTCTGACACCCAACACTTTGTGAGGAGCCTTGATGTGGAGAAGGGGTGGGCTGGGATGGACAAGAAGCGCCCAGCTCAGGGGATTTTCCTGGACATCAGGCATTCCTCCATGCAAATTTCTAGGAAACCTCATCATGGATGAAATCCCCAAGGGGCAGCGCTGTGATTGCCAGGTAGCAGAGAGAAGAGGGGCACCCTAGCACAGCTCAGGCCATGGGACAGCAGGGCTTTGATGTCAGGCTCAATGTCGTTGGTTGGAAAAGTGGGAGCTGCACTGCGCACAGGCACACCATCTGGGCACACCAGGCAACACGGGTGTGGCAACATGGAGGCCAGATGATGAGCTTGGGGGTTGGTCACAAGCACAGTGGTGTTGTCACTGGGGCCAGGCAGAGCCTCCCATGGGAAGGTGAAGAGAAGGTGCACCTGTGCACCCTCCACCTCGCACTTCTCCAGAGGCACAAAGGTGGACTCAAGCCCACCGCTGGGTCAGATGTACTTGAGGGAATTGAGGATCTCTTCATTCCTGGCATTTTCCTGATGCTTGAACTGGCTCCAAGAGAAGCTGCTGCAGCACATTCATCTGAGTGGAGTTACAGACCACTGTGCCTCAGAACAATGCCACGTTCTCAATGAGGGGCACCTTAGTCCACAGGGAGCTGCAGGGCATCCAGGCTCACGGGCTCCCCACTGGCCAGTGCACACAGAGAGGGCAGACACAGAGCTGGAGCGTGGGAGTGCGGAGCTTAGGACAGAGACCCCATTTTATTTTTTCAGTAAGACATTCAGGATGAAGTAAACTAGAAATGGTAAAAGGATGTTTAACCACACCTTCAAAGACTTCATTATATATGTGTGTGAACACAAAGAGTTACTTTTTTTTTTAAGACTTTATTCATTCATGAGAGACAGAGAGGCAGAGACATAGGCAGAGGGAGTAGCAGGCTTCCTGAGGGGAGCCTGATGTGGGACTCGATCCCAGGACTCTGGGATCATGACCTAAGCCAAAGGCAGATGCTCAACCACTGAGTCACTCAGGTGCCCCAGTCACATTTTTTAATAAGTTGAATAATTTGAGTTTCCCTAATAAGTATATGAAATCAAGCACCATTTCATGTTTATTGATTCTTTGGGTATCTTCTTTTGTAAAGTGTCTATCAAGTCGTTGACCATTTTTCTACCAAGTTTTCTGCCTTCCTTTGGATTCATAGGAGCATCTGATACATCCCAGCCTTAAGTACACCGACATGTTCTCCCAGCCTTCTCCAGCCCCACCTCCATCCCAGTCATTCCTTCTCCTACCCTCCTCCCTTTGGCACTGGCCCCATTGAGAACTGATGGGGAGATTTTTCTAATTGTTGCTCCCTTAAGATAAGGACCACCTTTTTCTCACGACCTACCCATGCCTGGTACAGAGCAAAATACTTACTAATGGATGGAAAAATGGGAAGAGAAAGCCAGGAATTAATCCCAAGTGTGGTAAAGAGTTACCCAGCCCCTGCTCTCAGGGACACCGCTCTTTTTAAACTAACTGTGATAACACCACAAAACGGGGCTTTAACTAGTGTGAGGCTGCTGATGTAAGACAGCTGGCTTTGGTAAAGGACCTGTGGAGATGACCTCATCAGTAGGATCTGAGGGAAGAGCTTAGCTTCTGATGACAAGGTCACTCTTCCTTACTCTGCCACAGCTCAGCCAGGTAACTCTGGACAAGTCACACAAGTGCCTCTGTACTTCAGTGTCCTCACCTTATAAAACGCGCCCAGAAAGAGTCCTCCTTACTTGCGGGAGTTCGCTAAAGAGATACAGCAAAACTCCCACCCAGGGCTATGTCCTACTCCAGCACCCTGAGAGGTTCTGAAATACAGCAATGCCACTGGGATTAATCACAGTCCAGTTAGACTAAATGAAGACTGAGGCATTCAGAAAGACCTCCCATTCTTTATGTGAACATTAACACCCACACCCTAGCGGCAACCATCAGCAATATGAAGTAACGATGCTGCAGTATTATCTAGATCCAACCCCTAAACCAAGGAGCTCCAGCATGTGAGCACCTGGGCCCCACCAAAGCCTCCCACAGACGCTCACCAGGAGCATCTGAAAGCCACAGGGACTGAGCAGGAGCCCAGCAGGGGAGAGGGCATGTATCTAGGCACAAGCACATGTGCACGCATACACACATGTCCCAGCACAAGGTTATTTTTAACTTCCATCCTGTTGTCAAGGAGACTCACAAAGGCTGCTGGTTTCCCCAGGAGGGGAAGGCAGGAAGGAGCCGAGGCAGAGCGCCTGCAGAGGAAGGGCAGGGAGCTCCAGCTTGGTGCTGAGTCTCTCTGGACCTTCCACAACTTTTCATGAGCATTAGCGCAGCACTGTGTCCTGCAATATCACCCTACCTGATTCCTATCCTTCCTTGCTAGATGGGGTGAGGGGCAGAAAGGTGTCCTGAGATAGAAAATAGTTGAGAGGGAGAACTATCTATAGTTCTAGATACTATAAGGGGCACTTGGGTGGTTCAGTCGGGTAAGTGGCTGACTCCATCTCAGCTCCAGTCACACGAGGTCCTGGGATTGAGCCCTGCATCGGGCTCCACACTCAAGGGGGTAATCTGCTTCTCTCCCTCTCCCTCTACCTCCCTCTCTCTCAAATAAGTAAATCAATCTTTCTTAAAAAGACCCTATAACTGGGGTGCCTGGGTGGCTCAGTGAAGTGTCTGCCTTTGGCTCAGGTCATGATCTCGGGGTCCTGGGATCGAGCCTCACGTCGGGCTCCCTGCTCAGCGGGGATTCGGCTTCTCCCTCTCCCTCTGCCCCTCCCCCAGCTTGTGTACACTCTCTCTCAAATAAGTAAAATCTTTAAAAATATATATATATATATATCGCAGCCCGGGTGGCTCAGGGGTTTGGCACTACCTTTGGCCCAGGCCATGACCCTGGAGACCCGGGATCGGGTCTCATGTCGGGCTCCCTACATGGAACCTGCTTCTCCCTCTGCCTGTGTCTCTGCCTCTCTCTCGCTCTGTGTCTCTCATGAATAAATAAATAAAATCTTTTTAAAATAATAAATAAATAAGTAAATAAATCCCTATAACTATTATTACTAAGATGTCAGGGGGCTTGAGATGAACTAAGAAATGAAGTTACTGCCCTAAAGGAACAAGCCTGAAAGAGATTTCTAGGTTTTACTTGTCTCTTAACCAAATAACCCCAGGGTCCTGAGCCTGACGCCAGGACACTGAATAAGTACCATCAGAGCCCTCAACTGGTGGCACCCTCTAGGTAGGAGGCCAGCATCTGGACAACCACTCCCTCACAAGCTGCAACAGGACCCAACAAGGCAGAAGGGCAAATCCCTGTGCAAGGCTCAAGGGCATAGCCCAGAAAACATGGACGGAGAGGGGGCAAGACAGCTGGCTCTGGGTTCCTGATGCCAGTCTCCACCCACCCCCACCCCCAGGTGTAGATGTCACAAGAGAGCAGGTCAAAGGAACACAAACTTGAAAGAACCTGGAGGCTTATCGTGTTCTGACTCCTCTCCACCCCGTGGGAAAAGGCCTTTCACCAGGATCACCAGGACTTCCTCTTTGGCTCTTATGCTGCATACAAGAAGCCAAGTGCTAGTGGCAGTTTCCATGGTGGGCAGGGATGCTGAGGAGGCAGGGACCTAGAGCCCAAGTTCTTGCCCAAAAGAAAAGTGACATGTGCTGGACCTAGAGTCAGAGGTACTGAGAGGTATGCTGGTTTGCT